CTCTCCAGTAATGTGACTTCTGATTCTAGTTGAGTGGCTCGTTCTTTTGCTTGATCTAGAGGCGTTGACAATTCTAATTTCTGTTCACTATCTTGAAGGCGTTGCCTAAGCTCCTTATCCTACACATGAGAACTTCACATTAAACTGCTGGTATAAAATTAGTGTTCAAGCAACCAAAAACCTCATTTAAAGTACAAGAAAATCAACTTTATATTAGCAAAAATGTTTAAAAAATTTAACCCAGTTTTTATCTTTCTCACCCTTCTCTCTGCACATTGCCGATACAGGGCAATCTCATCCTGACAGAATGGCTCAATATCATTGATTTGTAGGCCTAGAAAACAAACCCTTGATTGATGAGCATTATAAACCACATGAACCAAAAAGGGATATTTGAGGAAAAGTTAGACATACAAAGGAACAGGTTCCTCAAGATTCCATCATTAGATCATCACCCACCAGGATAGTTTCCTCCATAGTCTGCTGTGAATCAACTAAATAACAAAAACACACAACAAACAGAAACATAAGTCGAACTACTAGTCCTTCGCACTGCATCTTCCACAATATAGTTCACTAAATGCAAAGTGCAAGTAATGAAGTCTCAGAAGCTCAGGCTGCAGTTCTGTACAAAGGGTCCTTTTTATCTTTGTTCCTCCCCCCATCCCCCTTAACTCAATCCCCTTCCACAATATCTTTGCCTCAATCCCCTTCTCCCAGTAAAGCAACCATATTCCTCCCCATTTACTTGATAGAAAAGGATGTAGAAGAGACACATGCCATTACTAAATGAATGAAACCTGCTGGAAAATCATAGTCTTTCAGCATCTCCTCTATAAACGTCCAGCACACCATATCATAAGCCTTCCTCAAGTCAATTTTCATTAGACATCTTGGAGTAGTTTTCCTATTATAGTGTCACATGAGATCATGACAAATCAGTACATTATGCACCCATGATCTTCATTGGACAAAGGCTACCTGTGATTCATTGACCAGTGACGGTAACACTCTCTTTAGTTTCTTACATAGAATCTTAGAGATGCATTTGTATATGGTGTTGCAATATGATATTGGCCTAAACTGCCCTACATTCAGAGGATTAGGCACCTTAGGAAACAAACTAATCAAGGTAGCATTCAGTTGTTTTAATAACTTCCCATTTTTAAAGAACTATAACACAGCTTCACTCACTTCATCTCCCACAATGTTCCATGCACTTTTGAAAAAACTACTCCCAAATCCATCAGGCCCCGAGCTCTTGTTCACATTGATAGTCATCATTGACATCCTTAACATCCTTCCTTGATTATGGGTCAAGTAGAACCAGTTGTTGTTGAGTAGTTAGTCTCTGACTCCGTAGAAATCATGGTGATGCTATTCTTCTCCATCCTCCTTATTTACCCAGTAATTCTTTATAAAACTGCACAAACAATTTGGCTATAGTTGTTGGATCATCCTGTATGTTCCCATTACTGTCTTGCAACTGCGTTACTACTTGTACTAATTTTCTGTGCTTGATCATAGAATAAAAGTACCTAGTGTTATCATCCCACAACCGCATCCGTGTTGCTTTACTTCTTTGTTGAAGGAATATTTCTATCAGATAAGTCAACCTCTTAAACTTTGCCCCCAATCTTCTCTCCTCTTGTTGTAAATGTACATCCAAAGGATTTAGCTCGAGTAATTCTTCGCACTTCAATAGATTCTCCCTATCCATTGTTGCTTCTTTCACTATGTTATTGAAATTGCTTTTATGCAGCTTCTGCAGCTTAGGTTTGAGACCTTTAAGTTTCTTCACCACTTGAAACATCTTCCATGCTTCTATGTTCTGCTTCCACCCCTCCTCTACTATTTCTATAAATTGAGGATGAGTACTCCATACATTACAGTACTTAAATGCTTCTTTCTCCTGCAAGGCTGCTGCATGGTTGTAACCTGTACAGGCTGTGATCACCCACCCCTTCAGGTAAGAACCTTGCTCGACAATCTACCAACCATCCATTCCCCATTCACAAATACCCAATCAATCCTAGAGAACACCCTACCATTATCTTGTTTATCATTCCATATATAAGAGCACCCCCATTAGGAAGCTCCACCAGTCCATTCATATCTAAACATGTTTGAAAATAGCTGTAGTAACAAGATTACCTCCTTGTCTATCTTCTACATGCAAGACAGAGTTAAAATCTCCCAAAATTATCCATGATTAATTCATACCCACTGAAACTTGATTCAAATATTCTCAGAGTGCCTTTCTCTCTTGGAGTAAAGAGTTTTAGAGTATCTTTATATTTCCAATGAACAAGTTAAAGAGATAATAAATATTAATATTGTCAATTTAATTGGTAATAAATATTAATATTGTCAATTTAATTGGTAATTACTCCCTCCAGTCCACTTTAATAAATTTTTTAGTTATTTTTACGCACATTAAGGAATTCACATATTAGCATTAATTAATTAAAAAATTGATCGTATTAACTTTAATTTATTTATTAAAAATATAATAAACACTCATAGTCTCTTTACTCCAAGGGCAACTTTGAAAAAAAAAGATAATTCCTTCTTACTATCTGAAAAATCAAATATAATGGATCACAAAAAAAAACTAAAAAATTAACTAAAGTGGATCGGAGGGAGTAATGTTCAAAGGCGAATTTTGTAATATACGTAAAAATAACCAAAACATTATTTAAAGTGGACCGGAAGAAATGTTACTTTTGATAAATTTAAAGGACCAAAATTGCTCGAGAATATTTAATGCACTATTCTTTACTTACCTAAAGACAAATAGGTTCCATCGGGGTAATAAATGGTGCCAAATAGGAGATTAGCACTTGCACATCTTTCTTTTCTCCTGTTTTCTCTTCTCTCATCACTTTCCTTTTGGTTTGCATTGTAGCGAAGTGCAGCAGTGTTCAACTGCCAACACAAGAAATACATTCGCCCCCTTACCAACGACCCGTTGCATCTGTATCGACTTGACATCTTGAAGAAATTCATTAGTGTCTGTGAAAAATCACTTCTTCTGTGCATAGAATCGAACACCTGGTGGGCAATAGCAAAAGGAGGACACCATGGATGGCAACTCAAAACTCTTTGTATTACCTACTTTTCTCTTCAACATGTTATTCTCTTTTTTCATTTTACCCCTTTCCCCAAGCTACATTTTGATTTTCTTAAGCCTAAAGAAGTGTCAATTATTCAATAACTTAGA